CCCAGCTGTGTTTTGCAACTAGAATGACCCTTAGTGTGCCTGTACCAATGGCTGGCCCTTCCCCCAGCACCAGATTTGGCCAGAAGCACATGTGAGCTAAGTGGGTTGTGGCAGTAGCTTTGGCCTACCCACTCCCCTACACCTGGGCTCTGGTAGCCCCGCTGCTATGCAGGATGGGAATATGGGACTCCTTGACCAAATACAAGGATTGAAGCAGGTGGCAAGGCAGAGGGCTGTCTGGGGAGGAATCACTGTGCAAGCAGTGAGGATTGAACCCCCTCTTGCAGTATGCCTCCAGAACAGTTGGGGCAGCAGCTAAATGGCACAAGCTGGGACAGGGAGATGTCTTTAGGAACAGGAACTGATATGTGATTAGGAGTGCTTCTATCTGCAGCTCATTCAGCCCTGGCCCTTTTGCTGAGGCTATAGGCTGGGAGAGTCCAGCTTGTGCCCTTGTGATTCCTGGAATTCTAAATTTTTGGATATGCCCAAAGGCTAAGCATATCCAAGAAAACAGTTCTGAATTGTCAGATTTCCCCAACAGCTCCTTGAAGGCTTGAGGAGGAGCAAGAAGCAGTGTAGTCTTCCACTCCAGGAGTAGCAGTCAAGGAGTGGGGCTAGAGGGCACAAAGGGCTGCAATCATGCAGCCTTCTTGGCAGAGGGAGGCAAGAGATGGGCAACAGCTAGAGCTCTCAAGAAATGGCAGCAGGCAAGGAATGGGGATACTTGCCCTGCAGATGACTGCAGGGGCAACTGCTTTTGCTGCAGTTGGTGTCTCTGATTTGGGGAGCGGTGAATTGTGGGTAAGAGCAGTTTGGAGAGAGCTTGCACCTAAGGTAGGTGGGTCCTAGAGGAACATGGGGGGGGGGCGGGGGCTGGGGTGTGATTCTGTCACGGTGGGTGACATCAAGCTGGGGTTTCTTGGGCAAGGAAATATTTTCTGGGCAGAAGGGAGAGCCTGTTTCTGAGGAGTGGGGTAGGACTGACACAGAGCACCTGCTTCTTTTTGCCCTTCCTAGCTTGTGTCCTGAGACCATGCTTGGCTACAGTGGCTCTTTGCTAGGAACTGCCTGTCCTAAGTCAGTTTCTTAACACTTAGGAGGAGGCTCTGTGTGTGGGGGGGGGAGTGACTGTCATCTGCCCCTCTCTTTCTCTTTCACTCAGATGTGGCATTGACCAGGTCGGATGCTCCCTGCTGTACAGAAAGGGCTAGGTGCTGAGGCTGGGTTTGTCTGAGAACTGGGCTGATACCAGTAACTCCTTTCATGTAGCAGTTTGAGCAGCATGATGGGTTGGTTCTGCTAGTGGGATGGGGCTGGTGATCAGAAGAGGTCTAGTGCTGCAGGCCACTGTCATCAGGCAGACAGTGGGCCCAGGCAGTTTCCAGAAGTCCTAGGTCTAGCTGGAAAAGCGGGGAGACAGATGCAAAGTGCTGTTGTCTCCTTACCACTTTGTGCCATGTTATTTAGGATTTTCCTTAAAGCCTCAGCTCCTGGAGTCAGGTAACCAGGTGTAGTTTCTAATTCTTGTGAATGAGAAGTAAAATCTGGCAGTTGCCCTGGGTGCGGTTACTTGATCAAACTCAGAAGACAATGAAAAAGAAACCCATTCCTTCTATATATTTTAATCTGCAGGTTTTTGATTGCCTTGGGCTTGTGGAGACAGATGTGTCTGTATCTGTGACTCTGGCTCCTTCTGGGTCCTGTGCCCCACTCTCCTTGTGCAGTGACCCAGGCCCCCTGTGCTGTGACCTTTGGGAACTTTGACCTTTAACTTTAAGCATGTGCAATGCTGGGCATGATGTTAGGCTCTGTTTGTGAGCCCTTATGGGGAGAAGCATGGCAGGAAGAGTATTTGTCCTAGGGTTCAGAGGCCTAGTTAGGGGGTGCCTAGTAAGAGAGCAGTCCATTTTGCCATTGGGCTTGAAAGAAGAGGGTGATTATTAATGTATTTTCCAAGAATTCATAACCTGTCAGTGGCCCCTCTGAGCACTGATGTCAAGTTGAATGAGGAAGGTACAGTGGGGTATTCTCTTTTTAGCTTGTGGTACAGGGACCTGGAGGTTGAGTAATGCCACAAGCCTAGAAGCTGCTGCTGCTTCTGTGCTGTATCTGTACTGGGCATTTTCATGGAAGGAAAGTGGTAGCCATCAGGCTAGTGCCCACTCCTTAACATGCTGCTGCCCCAAGTGAGAACTGTGCCAGGACACTATGAAGAAACCTCTGGAGGGGCTCTTTGGCTGTTGCTCCCAGTGCCTCTTTAGAGAGCTTTAAGCAAGCCCCTGCCCTTGTCCCTGCTTCTCTCTCTCCTGTTGGTGCCTGGGGCCTGTGTGTGACTCTGCCCTCTGCCTGGTGCTGGGTTATTCAGAGGCTACCTTACAGCAGTGGGAGTGGGGATCATCTCTGCCATGGCACTTCTGCATTTGGGCCTGGGACTTCTCGTTGATGTTGTGAACTAATTTACCTCTGATTAAAGGCAGACAGACCTGAACCGCTGCCCTGTGCTTCTTTCTGTGCTACATGGGCTAGGGCTTACTGCCCCTGCCTCCCAGCCATGAGACTCAGAAGCCATTTGAGCTGAGGTTGTGTGCAGCAAGCCTTTCATCTTCTTTGGGCCTGCATATGCTGCGGCTGTCACCATCCCCCTTGCCCAGCCTACTCTGCCTCAGCTTTCCTGATACAAATTGTGTGAGAAGTGTGCACGTTTGTGACTCTGAATGCAGGGATTGTGTGCACATATGGTGGCTGAGAAGTGAGCAAGCCTGTGGAGGAGCCTGCATGTTGGAGAGATTCCTATTACTCATGCAGCATGCATCCAGTTGAGGGGGAGGGGATGAGAACTTGATGTAACGTGGATTTAAAGGTGAGTGAGCCCTGTTAAACAGCTAATGCCACTGAGTCGCAGAACAATTGGAGGTCAAACCTGCCAGGATGGGTGCACAGCTTTAGGTGCCTTTATGGAGGGTCTGGCTTCCATAGGTGCTGAGAGCTTATCTTCAGGCCGCTGGAAATGCAGTCTTGAGACACTTGCAAACTTGGGCCCTTGTCTCAGGTTGGACATGTCGCATTAGAGGCCCCTTGCTGCTGTAAATGAGCTGCCCATGGTCATACAACTCCCAGTTCTCTTGATTCCCAGCCTTTGTCCATCTGTTGCACCATGCTGCTTATGATTCAGTTCCAGGGTCACTGCTGTCTTCTGCTGTGGGAAGGTCTTCTGTCCTGCAGCCAACTTGCTTAAAAGACAGTCCAGCAGCTCTGAGGCTGAGGTCCCCTAACACCAGAACTGCACAGGAGGCTAGCTGGACTGGCTGTGCTCAGGCCTGCAGGACTAGGGCTTGGCCAAGCAATAGTGCATGAACTACTGAAAGTAATATCTGGGGAGAATGCATTTGTGGCTGTTTGTGTAAGAGGGGTACTAGTGCATGGTCCCCTCCTTACTGACTACAGGAGCACTGCCTTCACCCAGCAATTGCCAGCATAGGTCACAGCTGGGGCCCATCTAGCCCCAAGTCCTGTTTCTAGGAATAAGCTGTCCTAGAAGTGGTAGTAGCTCTGGATTAACCTGCAGAGGAGTAATTTCTTCTTAACAATTTACCACAGACTGCTTCTTGCCTTGAAGCAGAAGGGTTTGTATTCCTGCTGCATCCCTACTGGGTGCAGAGAACAGCTGTAAAAATGATGCAAGGGCCAGAGAACGACATCCTGAGAAATTGGAAAGCTAAGCAAATTGTGCTGTATCAGGAAGCAGACTGAGAAATGACTTGATTGCAAAGTACAGATAACTTCATGATGGAAGGGGTGGGGTGGAAATGTGAGGCACTAAAGGACACTTTAGTCGAACACTGATGATAATGAGAAGGCAGGAAGTTGAACCAGCTTCTCACTTTTGTATAATATAGCATTTGTTACACATTTTTTTTATAGTGGAAGCTTTCTGGTATGGTGCAAGGAGCTCCCTGCAAATGTCATCCTCTCCACATACCTCTGCTTGGGGCCTTCTGAGGTTTCTTGGGCTTCTTGGGTCTTGATATTGTACCATCTGCAGTCTTCTCATTTCACATGCTATGATTTCTGTCTGTACTAATTACACTGTTGTATCATTAGGATCTGCAGGGGTTTTTTTTAGATATAGCACTGATTCCCCAGGTCCAAGCTCAATGTGCCCTTCCTGGGCAGTTTATAGTCAACTGTAGTGCAGGGGTACTGCCATTTTATCTTTGCAAGGCATTCCTGTTCCCCTAGATCTGCTTCTTTTTTTTTTTCAAACTTCTGTTGGAAAAACTTGCTTCAGTGCCTTGCATCTTTTCCAGAATGTACTCCTGTAATTGTGCCCTGGCCCAGCTATCTGCACCTTGCCCTATTGTAGACAGGGTGCCTCTGGCTTAAGCTGATGCCCATCTGCAGACATCTGTCTCACCTGATTCTTTCTACAGCTCCTGTTTTAAAGAGCCCCAACCCACCTCTGCCCCGGGACTTGTCAGTTTTCTGTGTTAGCAGCAGTTTACTTAGCACCTCTTCTGAAGAAGTTTTTCCCCCCCCACAAAAGCCTTTAAAGCCTGCTGGGATTAAAACCTTCTTCTTCACAGTTTTCTCATCTATTCACTGAGACTTTTTGTCCCCTCTGTGCAGAGAAAAAAGCCTTTTCTTCTAACAGTTGAAATATAGCTTTCAGGACCTTTTCTGTCTTGCTTTGCCTATTGTTGGCACTGATGCATACCAAGAGCAGTCTTCCCACCACTCCTAGAAGTTTGTGTAGTTGCCTTGTGGGATCCTGCACCTACCAGGGAAGTTTCCAAATTGTTCATACCGTCAACAGGTTTGCTGCTCTCAGCATTCTTCAGGAGTGAATCCTAAGGAAGTGATTCAGGGTTTGGAAAACCTGCCCCATGGCAAGAGACTAAAACAGCTCAGGCTGCTGAGTTTACCCAAGAAGTTTGAGAAGTGATGGGAACACAGTCTACAAGCTTCTGTATGGAGAAAGGGATTTCCAGTAGCAGTGGACCTCTCAAAAAGGCAGCAGCAGGTCCAACAGCTGAAAGCTGAAGCTAGACAAATAGCTAGAAGTAAGGTGTAGACTTTTAACATGGAAGATGATTATAACCATTAGAATAACTGGGATGTGGATGGATTCCTGTTCCTGTCACTTCAAGTTAGTAGTGGCTTGCTAACACTACTTCTGTGGGAGGAGAGGGCATGACTGAGTTGCACAAGATGACTGCAGTGACCCCAATGCATGGGGTAGGGACTGGTAGAAATGTGGGGAACAAGTTGCTAACTTAGCTGTTAGGAAAGCACTTACATATACATTTAGATGAAGTGTGCCTTTTAAATTCTTGCCAGCATAACCTAGTTCCCTGTTAGCTATGGAGTAGGTAGAAGACCAGGAGCAGGGACATAGCTGAGGAGGCTGTGGTGGCATGCTGCTTGCACTGGGGCCAGTGCAACATATGTTGCTGTTTCCTGAAGCCAAAATTACTTAGCTGGAGGAGTAAGGAAACTGAAAACAACTGCTGAGGTGACAGACTGGAATGGTACAGAGCAGTCCTGAGTTCCCCAGCCCCAGCAATGAAAGGCCTAAGTTCCCCAGCCCATGGATACAGGGGTCATAGGCTCAATTGAGGGAGACACCCTTGTAGATCAGATCCACCTTCCAACTTAATGGACAGAGGCTGATCAAGGCCCGTGCTAAGAAAGTAACTCCAGAGAATGGTCTGAGTTGGAAAGGCAGACAGGGTGTTGTCTTGGAGCACTTGATTACTAGAAATCAAGAGAATGGGGTCTAGAGAGACCATGGCTGGATCTGGACAAGTGCAGCTGTGCTGTATATGGCACTGCAGCCACGTCTGCGGCACCACATACTGCAC